CCAGGAGTGTCGGATGAACGGATGATCCGACACTCCCGGCGGAGAGACCAGGGGCCCGCCGCGCGCTGGATAACGATCCGGCGGCCGGCAACTTGCTGGGCCCCTCCAGAGCCTGAGGCCCCGGGCGCCCGCACCGCCTGCACCGGCGGTAGTTCCGCCACTGTGCGATTCGTTTCGTTACGAATCGAAATTCGTACAAATTTTCCTGAAATTCGTAGATTCGTAAGCATCCGAAATCCGAATTGCAGTTTCCGAATTATATCCGAAATACGAAATTCCGTTAACGAATTTCGGGTCCAAATTTCTTTGAAACGGGAACTAATATTACCCCTGTAAATGAGGTTGAACAACATGACAAGATTTTTTTTTGAATTCCGAAATACGGATCCGCTGCTGCTGAGAGTTGCATTTCAATACACTGGCAGGAAATACGAAGTTCCATTGACGTATTTTCGTTCCGTTACGAACATTCGTTATATATTGAAGTTAAAAAGCAAAGTATATTTATATTGGAGTTGAAGGTAGTTTTTTTTAAAGTCCGAAATACAAAATTCGGATCCGGAATCCGTTAACGGAATTCGTATTTCGGATACAAAAACAACTACCACATCGACTCCGATATTAACAAAGGTATTTTTGCTTTTTAACTTCATCATAACGAATGTTCGTAAAGTTACGAAAATGTGCCGAAACTAACGAAAATCCGTATTTCGTACGAATCCGAATTGAGTTTCGGATAAGAATTACGAAATACGAAATAATGGATATTACGGAACGAAACGAAACGGAACACATTTTTTGACGGCGCACACGTCTATTGAACACTGGCCATCATTGAACCCGCATGACTGGCGACATCTAGTGGCAGAATAGAAATACTACGGGGGCAGCTCCAGATTGAAAGTCAGTTTTGCAAAAACGTTTCCTAGTTTTAGTTTCACTGGTTCTTTAATAGTTAATTTTTTCACCCCCATATATTTTAAGCCAAACATTTTTTGTTTTGTTTTTGATGGAGTGCGGATGGATTAGGAGTGTGGTTGGATTTTTATTGCTGCTGGTGGAGATTCACCCGTTCTGTTTGTCCTGACGACCACTTTTCATGACCTGTGGATAATATTTAAGATTTACTTACCAGGGAATCTTTTATTTTAAACAGAGCTTCACCACGTGAACAGCGCTCCCCTGTCCCCATGCAGTCAGGCGGCCGATCAGAGCGGCAGCGTTCCCAGTGTGAAGAGTCTGGACGGAGCCCCATCAGGAAAAGGTAAGTACGTCCTAACTGCATGTACTGGAATTAGTTTAATGTTCCATTGTATTACTTTCTGTCCGTTCTCACACTTTCATCTCTTCTTGCTCTCTCAGTGGAATACGCTAAAGTTATGAAGACTTTGAGTTCTCCGAAAATTCTGCAGTACACGACTTCTCTGAAATTCATGGACTTCCTACCCTACACCCTGTCTCTGCCACCGCCCCCTGTCCCTCCACCAGATGAGGAGTCAGCCCCGGAGACCCAGGCTAAAATGTAAGTGACTTCTTGGTTTAGGTCTGGAACCTGCAAAGGTTTAAGGACCTCTTAAAGAAAAACATGTTTAGTTATTATTTCCATAATTCCTACATCCAATTGAAAGGAGTCATCTTCATGAATATGATGCCACCAACTAAACCAAAGTGAAGTTATCAGGGTAGAGAATTTTTTTCAATTGGTAAGACTTGGACGTGTTTGGTCACATTAGTCATTAGGCTAACTGGGCTTATCTCAAGCAGTCATAAAGCAGGGATGCTAACATAATAATCTACCCAGGTGCCATATGTAGTGGGCTCACACGGTCTGCCTTTACTTCTTCTTGCAGAATCCCTGGACGCTCCTCTTATTCCAAAACGAAACAAGACAACAATCATAAACAGCCAAACATTGCTAGGAAAAAGACTCCGCCAGATTCCCTGCACTTCAGCCATACGGCGCCCATCACCTTGTCAGTCAGTGATGATCATGTGCTCACTCCGGATGACGTCGCCCATTACCTGGAACTTAGCGAAAGAGGAGACAAATCCAGGTGAGTGCCGGAACCAGGAAACTGTCTTTATGTCTTTAGTTTCCTCTCATCATCTCCACTCTTCTTTCTTCTTTTCTGCTCCTCTCCTCAGCTCCCCATCCATTATACCTGTATTCTCCTTTCCGTTCCTTCCTTGCATCCCCTCTCTCCTCCTCTCCTTTCCTCGCCTACTCCCCTCTTCCTCCTCTCCTTTCCTTGCCTACTCCCCTCTTCCTCCTCTCCTTTCCTCGCCCACTCCCCTCTTCCTCCTCTCCTTTCCTCGCCTACTCCCCTCTTCCTCCTCTCCTTTCCTTGCCTACTCCCCTCTCCTCTTCCTTCTCCACTGTCCTATCTTCTCTCTACTATCCTCCCCTCTTTCCATTCCGTGATCACCTCTCTCCCCTCTCCTTTCTTTTCTCTCCACTCTCCTCTCCCCTATATCTTCTCTCTTCTCTATCTACTCTCACCTTCCCTCTCCTCTCTGTTCTATCTTTCTCCATCCCTCTCTTCTCTCTCTTATATCCTCTTGTCTTCTCTCTTCTTGCCTAACTCCTCTCTCCTCTATTCCTTCTCCTCTTCTTTCTCCTCTCTCCTTCTCCTCTCTTCTCCTGTCTCTTCCCCTCTGTCTTCCATCCTCTTCTTTATATCTCCCCTCCTATATTCTCTCCTCTATCCTCTCGTCTCCTCTCCTCTATCTCTCCTCTCCTCTAGTCTCCTCTCTTCTATCCTCTCATCTCCTCTCTTCTATCCTCTCCTCTCCTCTCTTCTATCCTCTCCTCTCGTCTCCTCTACTCTTTCCTCTATTCTCTCCTCTAGTCTCCTCTCCTCTCTTCTATCCTCTCGTCTCCTTTCTCCTCTCCTCTATCTCTCCTCTCATCTCCTCTATCTCTCCTCTCGTCTCCTCTATCTCTCCTCTAGTCTCCTCTATCTCTCCTCTAGTCTCCTCTATCTCTCCTCTCCTCTCCTCTCCTCTATCTCTCCTCTCCTCTCCTCTATCTCTCCTCTCATCTCCTCTATCTCTCCTCTCGTCTCCTCTATCTCTCCTCTAGTCTCCTCTACTCTTTCCTCTATCTCTCCTCTAGTCTCCTCTCCTCTCTTCTATCCTCTCGTCTCCTTTCTCCTCTCCTCTATCTCTCCTCTCATCTCCTCTATCTCTCCTCTCGTCTCCTCTATCTCTCCTCTAGTCTCCTCTATCTCTCCTCTATCTCTCCTCTATCCTCTAGTCTCCTCTATCCTCTAGTCTCCTCTATCCTCTAGTCTCCTCTATCTCTCCTCTCCTCTTTCTCTCCTATCCTCTTTCTCTATCTCTCCTCTATCCTCTAGTCTCCCCTTTCTCTCCAGGTCAGCCTAGGAGAGGAAGAACTGTCTGGGTGTTACAATCATTGTATACTTTGTAGACACTTCCACCCTTGGCCCAGTGTGTCCCCCAGACCGAACCATACATAAGAGAAGCTCCCCTTCCCTCTGTCTCTGATTTGTGAGATTCGGCACCTTTTCAGTATTTTCTGTTTTCTTGTCTAATTTTCTCTGGAAACAAATATCTGAGGAGGCAGCACGAGGAATCTCTTCTAATGAATGACTGTTTCTGTCTGGATAATCATACAGGAAGCTCTGACAGATGATTCACATTCATCAAAGCTTCCATCCCCGCCACACTTCAAGCCGCGGTGAAGACCATCCATCTTCCTCCTTTGGCTCGATTCATTATTTATTTTGTCGGAGGGGGGGGGCAAACAATCTGTCCATTTAATTTCTACAAACAGGAGCACTTACCCTGAACAAACACAACCTGACAGGCGGAGTCAATAATCGCCGGCGTGAGATATTAAAAGAGTTTGCTAAACTGTTTTGATAAATGCGCATGACGTGTAAAGCTCTCTTCCCGGGATTTAAATCTTCAATAATTGTCTGCTGTCGTGGCTGATATACGGCGATCAATAAAGCGTTTTGTATTGTCGCGCGGCGCGAACGCACCTACTCAAAACTTCAGCCGTGAATCATGTCGGGGAGCTCGTTGCCTAAAAGCCGAATCTCATTTGTTGTTTGCCATAAAGTAACGTTCACGGGGGCCGCAGCGTTGCCAAGATATTCTCTGTGGCGATGCCAAGAGTTAATTCATGTCCCCGCGTTATTGAAGAGGCCTCGCGGGTCATCGCAGAAGTGATTACTCCTCGCAATTAGTTGTCACGACGCTGGCTCGGCACTTTTCAGCCGCGCCGGTTGTTTTTCGGGACTTTTAGTACTCGGCGCATTACAAGGAGGACGTCAGGAAGTGAGATTTACTGGAAACGTATTGATTGTCCAGCAATTAGAGTGTAGAGCGGGCACGCCGCGAGGATGTTCTACTGACCGCCATGTTGCCGCGCCATTCGTCATGTGGTTGGATCCTGTGCTGAGGAAGCAGATTATATTTATTCTCAGTAAAACACGGAGACATGACGGGGAGAAAAAAAGAAGATAATAAAGGGAGATAACTTCCTGTATGGTGATGAACTAATCCGAAATAACTGGTCCATTACATAGACGTAGGGATGAATCCCAAACAGGAAGCTGAACCTGCAAAAGTCCTCTGTGTGGTCCCTCGGCCTGCAGATAGAAATTCAGGGCTGTTTTACTCTGCAATCTATAAAATCTGACCTCCGTCCTTCCCTTCAGTCTTCTATCTGACCTCCGTCCTTCCCTTCAGTCTTCTATCTGACCTCCGTCCTTCCCTTCAGTCTTCTATCTGACCTCCGTCCTTCCCTTCAGTCTTCTATCTGACCTCCATCCTCCCCTTCAGTCTTGCACAGTTGTACCGGCTCCTCTGATGTCACTGGGAGCTTCTCACAAGGTACATTAGAAGCTGCAGCAAGTCAGATAGAACTCACTTTATTACCTGGCTGGAGGACGTCCAGCTTCATCTAGCGCTTTCCTCCCTAGCCTGAATTCCCCTGGCCTCGCCCCTTGCATTCATTGGATTTCAGTTCTTTCAGTCATGGAGACTTAGCGTCACATGAGAATGTTTTCTAGGTGATCTGCATGCAAATACATCCTGCCTAGGAATGCTCACTCCTCCACAAAATTCTAATTTCAATATATCCTGAATAGCCACAGAGGATATAAATCCACTTTGTGTGCACCAAATGATCACCTTGTAAAAGTAGCAGTGACATCATCCCTGTGCTGCACATAGCCTGTGCAGAGCTGTGGGAGTGGACCGCAGGCTCATCCCACTACAGGCAACTACAAGAGGGGGCGGAGACGAGACCAGTCGCCCTGCACAAGGAGAGAGCGCAGCAGTGAACGGTCTTTATTACAGGAGGGGGCGGAGACGAGACCAGTTACCCTGCACAAGGAGAGAGAGCAGCAGTGACCGGTCTTTATTACAGGAGGGGGCGGAGACAAGACCAGTCACCCTGTACAAGGAGAGAGAGCAGTGACCGGTCTTTATTACAGGAGGGGGCGGAGACAAGACCAGTCACCCTGTACAAGGAGAGAGAGCAGCAGTGAACGGTCTTTATTACAGGAGGGGGCGGAGATGAGACCAGTCGCCCTGCACAAGGAGAGAGAGCAGCAGTGAACGGTCTTTATTACAGGAGGGGGCGGAGACGAGACCAGTCGCCCTGCACAAGGAGAGAAAGCAGCAGTGAGCGGTCTTTATAACAGGAAGCTCCAAAGTCTCACACGGGATGATTGCACAGATCTGGAAGAAATACACAAAGCTCACCGAGAAGAACACACGGGACTCTTGTATGAGGGTGATATCCGATGATCTCGGAGTTCAGCTTTAAAAACAAAAAACATACAAATTATTTGGATGGGCAGATTAATGCCAAGCTTGGTCTGGGCTTCTATGCACCGGTGACCCCGGGTTACCTGGACCCGTCATCACTAGTGGCCCTCCTGTAGCATCATCAGTGATGGCGCATTTCTCATACTCGTACCACTTTTCCGATATAAGCTCCTCCCCCAGAGTA